TCGGGCTGCCAACCCTCCAGCCCCATCCTGGAGCCTCGGGAATTAAGGATGATTCTTCAATTAAAGACGATGCCGTGACGACACCTCCGGGAAGGCAAGCCACAGCGCTAGCAAGCCTACTGGACACATGGCTCAAGGGGTGGGGAGACAGTGGCGTTTCTGAACGGGCAAACCAAAGGCGGCCGCAGCCGGGGTGCTCTGGGAAAGCCAGGGCGCCACGTGCACAGCTGGTGTTTTCTAAGGGACTAACAGCCAAGCTCTCCATCGTGTGGCAGGGTGTTCACGGGGCCTTGGTGTGACGCCAGCCCACACAGGACTCCCCCCGCAGGGTGACATACTCTGCCACCCACGCCCATATCTTCCCTCCCCACACTGGCCCTGCCCAGCTCCCTGTGTCCCCAGCCACATTCTGCAGCCTGCCCCCACGCCTGGGTCGATTCTCTCCACTTCCTCGACATGCACAGCCACATCCCCTCTTCTCCCAGAACCCCCCACCCACTGTCCCCAGCCAAGCGCACTCCCCTAACATTCACACCCCACCCCCCCGGACATGCCCAGCCCACGGCCCATCTTCCCCTCTTCCTGACCCAGAGGCGCTGCCCATGTGCTTGCTCCGTCTGTTGTTATGACTGTCTTGACGCAATACTGCTGCATGGAGGAATGGCTCACTGCTATTTGGCAGCCTCCCACAGCCGGCTCCACTCTGCACACTGCATTCAGCCCTGGTGACTCATGCTCACACACTAGCCAAGATTCGCTCTGTATACAGTTGTAGGACGGCTTTAAAGGGACACGCCACTGAAAACTCCACCCACTTCACAAGGCTCCAGCCTCAGCACCGTCCCAGCAGGGAAGATAAATTGTCTGTGCTAAACATTTTGGGAATGTGCGTAGGGACAGAAAGAGTGAATCACAAATTCCTGAGCTCAGTCCTCGTCAAACTGTCCTTCTTTCACTTACTGACCCTGTGACTTTGGACAACCGACGCTGCCCCAGCCTCAGTTTCCCCATCAGTAAAATGAGGATAATGATATTTACCTCTATAATACCTCACTGGTTTCTATTCAGATTTAATTAATACATACCTGTAACTCTGGCATATCTTTGAGTACTGATCTGTCTTTGCAATATTAATCCCATTCTTCCAATGTGGGGTGTTTTGGGGGGATGCAGTAGGGTGGGGTGGTATATTTAGCTACAGATTTCTTGTAAATGGTCTTTAGTACATTATATCTTGTGACGTCAATTTCATGCACTTGATGCCTGGTGTTTCAACAGCCGGCCCCCGTGTACAATTCAGCACACAATACAAGACTTTCTTGCAAGTGGCAAATATTTATTCCTCTTTGTTAGTTGCTCAACTGGATTGCGAGAATCCAAGCGACTAAGAAGTCCATTGGCATGGCTGTGTCTTGCTTTGCTTTACACCGAAGATTGCCCGGGTCTCTTTCTGTGCATTGCTGCTGAAGGTGAAAAGGGTGGTGAACGGAAGCATGTGGGGAGAGAGCCGTTCAAGGTATTGCTAGTGGGGTAACTCAGCTGACATACTGGAACCTGAGGGTACAACGGGTGACCTTCGCAATGTCTTGTAGTCAGAGGGTGTCCTGCGAGGGTTGCCATGGACTATTCCACCGGTGACTGCTTAGCGCAATCCAGGAGATGTTGACCAGGCTATTTGAAGAGACCGACATATCATGCTGGGGAAAAAAAACCCCAGATCAGCTTGAGTCAGGGCTGGCAATCAGAGCGGTATCTGCAGCCTGTGGCACATAGTCAGGCGTTGGGATCTTGACAGCCCTTGCTTGCCGTCCATTCCCGGAAAGTAGCACCCTTCTCCTCTCTGGGGCTCAGAGGTGCAGCTCAACCAACGTGCGGTTCAGGTGAGAAAACGAGGAGCCAGCCATCGGTAAAGCCAACCAGCTGACTCCTGCTCGTCAGGTACAGGGAGTGGCGCTGGCCGGGGCAGAGACAGTCTACGTTCAAAGGGGTAAAGGTTGCTTGTAATTTTTTTTGCACACTGTCAGCAACAGCCTCCGTCCAGAACGGCTTCCCCTGCTCCTGTCTCTCAGCAGGACAAACAGGCCGTCTCTTATCCTCTCTTCCCTTGTCCTGCTGCTCCCTTGGAGCATCATCTCCGGCCTGTTTCCTGTCCGTTCACCAAAGGGTCTGCTCCCCTGGGCAAAGAATTCAGCAGCCTCCTGCCCATTACACCTGCAAAAGTCAGGTGTGTCAATGGCTGCTAATTCACAGGGACTGCATCTACTGCAGAGCCGAAAGGGGAGGGGCTCAGTTTGTAAAATCCATTTTATTTACTCTGCCTGCAAAACATCATGCCAGCACCTATGCGTGCATCAGAGGAATCAGGGAGTGAGTCTTTAAAAGCCTTTTTCCCCTATGGACTAAGCGGGCCGCAGCTGGAGATTCTGTGGTGCTTCAAAGGAATTTCTTTAGACCCCTCCTCTCAGTAGAACGCTTGTGGCTTTTAACCTGGTTAAAACTGACAAGTCATTGCTATAAGACAGTATCTTGAAATTTGGTGGTGTTTGAAATCTAGATAATGTATGTGGCAACGACTCATTTCTAGTAAGCACACATCAAGTTTACCAATGCTAATCAAAATAGACTCTTCTGAGGAGTTACAAAGTATACAGTGTAATCTTCCACGTTCTTTAAAATGCATTGGGTCCGATTTTGGCACAAATACAACCCTCTCTGGCAGTGCAAAGGGACCTTAACATGAGCCTACTGTCAATTACATTTACACTTCTTGTAAGGCCGATCTACACGGCCAAAGTGGTGCAAAGGGGGCCTAGTGTAAATGAAAATTAGCCACACAGAGTCTTTTAAGGCAGCATCCTTGGCTGTTTTGTTGTTGTTTGTTGTGTTCTACTTTGCAAAGTTGTATAATCTTCAATGCAAACCAAAGTGATTCTGGAGTATTGTGTGTCTCAGGGCTGTCATTTCTGAATGGACTGTTACATAAAGTACTCTACAGATGTAGACACCGAAATGTATGAACAAATGTGTATGCGCCCCGTTACGCTGCCAAAACGGGGGCCATGAAGCTGCTTGAAATTATTTAAATGCTTTTATTGTCAAAAATGGCTTTTTTAAATAAAAGGAACCAGAATGCGTACTAATGATTGATTTTAAAATTTATTTCCATTGTGTGCATTTCGCTGTTTTCTTCTTTTCTTTTTTCTTTCATTTCTTCCCCATCTCATTTCTCATTTTTCCCTTTTTTAAAAAAAAGACTCAAATGATATTTTCCCTAGCATTTTCAAACACCAAAAATATAGACTTCTTGTGTCTTCATTTGTGTGTTTTAAAAAATTCAAATGTTAAGAAATGGATCAAAATGGAAACTGACTGGGAAAATAAACTGATTCATTTCAAGCCTGGAAAATGGAAAGCAATATATCGTTTTCAAAGGGGCGTAGTGCAGCTGTTTGACATTAAATTGCATTCTTCTTCTTCTTCTTCTTTATCTTTTCTTGTGCTCCGATTCTTTCCAAGAGCTTTGTGAACTCAGCTCTGTCTGACAACGTCCGGGGCTTTTCAGAAATGTTTGCAGTTGGTTGGCAGAGTTTCATTTCAGAGCTGCCTTCACATGTTGGGCCTGGAGCCAAATGAGAGTCCCACTCTCTCTGCATCAGTTTCATGAGGAAACGCTGGCTGATTGCTTTCCGCAGCGAGGCAGTGATGAAATGCACAGCCAAACTCCTCCCTCTTCCACCTGCACCGCACCATATAAATTCCGTTCAGGGCTGCTCTGGCTGGGGGTCAGTGCCTGTGGCAGTATTTTTTCCCTAATGTGACTGCTGCTGCTGTTCGGTTTCCAGCTGTCTCATCTCCAGCAGGTGGAGAGCTAAGCGACATGGAAGCATCACATTTCCTGGAGAACGGGAATATTCCCCAAGAAGCAAACCGGTCAGGGTGCAATTGGATGAAAGTTTGCACCTTGGCAGCTCTGGTTCTTTCAACACTGGTTGTGGTTCCACTTTTGATTGTCTGCTTCCTGTGCCTTCACAGACAGGTAAGGAGAGCGCAAAAATAGCAGAGTTATAAAGCATAAAGGATGTGAATATGAACTGATGGTGTGTGAGCTTTGCCTGCTATTAATTCCGTTCCTTCTTGGAGCCAACGCGTTGCCTAGACAGCTTACATGTGCTCAAGAGCTTCCGCCTCTAGGGGTGGGAAATTTTCATTCATTCTGCTTTGGTTTAGAAATGATGAAGTCAGGTTTTTTCTTCTCCTCTCTCCTTGCCTGCTATGCCCACTGCTGTTGTTATTAATGACTACCTGGTAAGGGGAAGGCGGGACCAGGAGTCCGTTCATCCCCAGGCCCCCCTAAACCTGCAACTTGAATCCACATTGCTCCTTTTCCCGCAGCAGCCCTGTCTCGTTCAATGCAGCGGTGGCCCAGGAAACTGCCAATCTGGGGTTACCCGGCTTGACTTTGAACCGAACATTTATTTGATGCAGCTGCCTTTGTATGTATAGCCTGACCACAGGGGACAGGCACCTGCCAACTCCCTGCCGACGTCCAAAGGGGTCTCACACCAAGGAGAGGGGCGAGGTGTGTACAGCTAGGAGGGAAAAGATGCTGCTAGGCAAAAGGAACAGGCTGTCTGTCAGGTGGCGGGGTGTCTCTGACTAGGAAACACGCCACTGGAGACATCTGTAGCTAGGCCGGAGAGAGTGGGGGAGCAACCGCCCTGCTCCGGCAGAGGGAAGGTCTCAGAGGGCCCAGCTGAAGCAGATGCAAGGAACTGTGACTCCATGGAACATGGACTTGCCCGTGCTCACGTCGGGACTGAGCTGAGCAGAAAAAGCCAGTTTTCAGCAATGGCTCCAAGAACGGGGGGAAGAAGTTCTCAGAGTCAAACACCTCCGGGAAGCAGGATCACTGGGGCTGAGGGCGTATCACGAGTAACAGTGGGGAGCGATCCTGGAAGGTGCTGCTCGCGCCTACAGAATGCAGAGCAGCCTCCCTTCCCATGGGGCTCGTCGGGACTGAGCTGAGCAGAAAAAGCCAGTTTTCAGCAATGGCTCCAAGAACGGGGGGAAGAAGTTCTCAGAGTCAAACACCTCCGGGAAGCAGGATCACTGGGGCTGAGGGCGTATCACGAGTAACAGTGGGGAGCGATCCTGGAAGGTGCTGCTCGCGCCTACAGAATGCAGAGCAGCCTCCCTTCCCATGGGGCTAGGGTGTCGCGCCCCCCCCCCCCCCCCCCAAGCGCAGGC